ATCCGGCTCATGTTCTTTCTTGTTGGATTAGTTAGTTCTTGATGATTCGTGAGATTTCTGACTGCCTGAAAATTTTATTGTCTGCTGTGTGTGAGAAGGAAATATTTATTCACTGTATGTTCTGGAAGGTCAGCTGTTGGAAAATGTTTAAGAAGCACCGTGTTTAATATTTTGTTAAAGCGTGATCGCTCCTACGTTTTAAGCTGAATTTTCTTCTGAAAAGAGATGTTGGGGGAGGGTGATGTGAGCTGGATTGTAATTTTACTTGGGGCCATTTGATAAAGCTACCCAAAGTCTTATTGTTGCTAGCGCAAAATTTTTCCAGCGTATCATTTTCGCTTCTTTTAGTTTCTTTTTTGTACGATGTGCTAACTTTGCTTTATACTTTACCTATGCTTCTTCTTTCTGTTTATCTGGAACACTTTTCAATTTACGTCTTAAGCTTCTATCAGATTTTCTTCCCCCTTAAGTTCTTTAATTCATTAGTTTACTCTGATTTATGGTTATTACACAACCCGACATTGAAAATGCAACATCAAGAAGGACTGGCCCGAAAATTATGCAAATTTCAGGGTAGATGTTACCGAGTTACGTGAATAATGTCAAATGCGCAGCTCTCCAGGGCACGTTGAAGAAAATATAAGGGAAGGAAAGAACACGTGTAATAGTAGATAATGCCAGGCCGTCATCAATGGAGGCAGTTCCATCAGACAGACGATTTTACAACGGGCATGGTGATAGGACTGAAAACGGCTGGTTGGTCCAAACGGCAAATCTCAGCTGACATGAGCACGCTTGAATCGACGCATCCCCCAACAAGCGGTGGTGCACAAGCAAGCCACTTCTATCTTCATTCTGCATCATGTTCAAGACCCCTGGATATTCCCATATCGACCAGAACCGTCTGCCGTCGATTAATGGCTAGTAGCCTGCACTGGTGGCGTCCGTTAAGAAGACTGCCATTGACTCCACATCATAGACGCGAACGTCTGAAATGGTGCCGGGCTCGAGCGATGTGGACGATGGAGTGGCACAGGGTCGTGTTCTCAGATGATTCACACTTCTGTTTCTCCAGTGATAGTCGGGGCGTACGAGTGTGGCGTCGATGTGGAGACAAGTCCAATCCAGCAGCAACTGCGAAACGTCCCACCGCGCGACTACGCGGCATGATAGTTTACAGCGCAATTGCGTAAGATCTGAGGTCACCTTTAGTTCGTAGTCAAGGTACTATGACAGCCCAACGACAGGTGGTGGGACACTCCCCTACCTTCAGGGAGTGCCCAGTACCATTCAGCAGGATAACGCCCGACCACAAGCTGCTCGCTTCAACCAACATGCTATGCAAGATGTACAGATGCTTCCCTGGGCACCGTTTTCTCTTGATCTTTCACCAATGGAATAGATTTAGGATGCGATTGGACGCCGCTTGCAGACCCTGCCATTGCCGCGTTCAGAAGACGAACTGTGGCAAATCGTTGACAGCGAATGGAGAGCTATTTCTCAGGATTCCATCCGTAGTCTCACTGACTCTGCTTCTAGACGTGTTGTTTCGTGTATCGCCGTCCAAGGTGGTCCTACAACTTGAGTCGATGCTGTTCTCGCTTTGTATTATGCATATCATTTCGAAATAAAGATCACTTATTGTTCGTTGCTGTCTCTCTCCGATTGTTGAGTTTCATCACTTTCTGGCCACTCTTTCTTGCTGCTGCATTTTCAATGTCGGGTAGTGTATTTCTTGTCTTGAATGTGTTAAACGCGGTTTCTTATATTACTTCTATTATCACAGAATCAATGCAAATCACATGCTAGCAATTATTTCACTGCTGAAACATGACTTTATTTATTATTTTTGAAACAAGGACGAATTTATTTGAATTAATATTCCGACATAATATGAAAAATTTTACCGCGTACAGAGCAAAAAGGACAATTTTCGCGAAGATATGATTGTGCGTGAAGATGTATTCACGGATAAAAATGGGGCGATTTTAAGAATTTCGAGAAAACATCCAATGTTAAAAGACGATGCATATCCATGCATATTTAACGGCTGTCCAATATATATGACGGAAAACTCACCGACAGTCAGGAAAAGCAGAACGAAAAAATTAATGGAAAAGGAGAAAGAAGTATTAAAACTTTTCATGGAAAACGACAAAATTAATGGCTTTTATAAATTACTAATAAATGTTGACAACAAAATTAGAGAAACTGTACACAAAAATATGAAATTCATTACCTATAACATTTCTGATGTTTGTTATGTTTTTACGTTTTTGTCCATCTCCATGCATTAAAAAAATGCTTGGTTTAATCCCAGTATACGGTACACTCGGGATTTGGCGACATTGACATTACAAACGTTTTAGCGAGCCAGATAAATAGTTTTTTTGTAAGTTTTGTATTTTGTGAACATTGTTCGTAATTTTATTCAGTTGGAATAGTGCTTCTAGGTCATTTAAAAAAGATTTTATTAAATTATCAGAAGAACCGTCGAAAGGTTTAATGCAATCGTATAAATCGCTGAAAAGTTACACTGAATTGCTGTTCGACCGACTAACATTCCATGTATATTATTTACTGTGTGATTATATAAACGAACATCTGAGCTCGCGGCTTGCTGCTAAATTCGAACAAGTTAGTAGCTGCGCAATAATTTCAAACTCCATATTATATTCAGTAATATTTTCTTCACGGTTTTGTAATTCACAATTTTGTATTCATACATCTATTATTGCTCTAAGAATTTGCACGCTGTCATTGGTTGATGTGCTGAATTATGTGCCAGTGTAGTAGCATACAAACGGACTTCTCCCTTTGCACAGAAAGGCTGTGTAGCACAGTTAATGTCAAAGGTAGTTGTTTTCAATAAATTTGTTGTTCAAAAGCATTTTTGGGCTCTTTTTGATCTGTAGAATCTTTGGGCGTAATGTAAAGTATGAAAACTTTCAGATTTTTTTTTTTTTTTTTTTTTTGTGTGTGTGTGTGAGAGAGGCTGAATGTCATGGGTTCAATTAATTATGAAGCTTTTACAATATTTCGCGGCGCTCCTGTGAAAAAGCCTCGCGGTACATAGTTTGGGAACCATCGGCTTATACCCTTGGTCAATCATATATCACCAGATCATGATACTGTCTCCTTCATATATTACAGTAAAAACTACCCATTCTGTGTTGTAATCGTCGCCTTGCTAAATATTTCAGGGAAAAATGATAATTCTTAACAGACTATGATTGAAAACATTTTGGACGTGTTTAAAAGATTACTTTTGTGTGAAACAAAAGAAAAACAGAGTTTACTTGGAAGTTTAATTCATCAGAACTAAAAATATTTAACCACTCTTCCTCAATAAAGTGTTCATGCGATAAAGCCCGTTTAAATCTGAAAATTTAATATTTTTTCACTTTGATACTAACAACACCTTCTAGCCCCACAACCTTTCAAACCAGCTGCTACAAACTTTTTTCTCACAGTTCTAGCACTAATTGGATGCAAACATATTTCTTGCATAATTCTTAAACAAGCTCATGATAATTTTTTTTCAATTTCTTACTGATTTTCGAATCAAAATTCAACTGTCAACTTTTTTTAACCATTCTACTTATATTCAAGTAAGAATCTATTTTTCTCAAACTTTCTAAAGCATATTGTACAGCAGAGCATTAACATTTTTGGAAATCTCAATTACGGATTTTCTTCGTTTATTTATAAACACGATTTGATGTTAAAATTTGTCTCGGCATTTTTGTAAGAAGTGCCCTAATTTTCAAAATTTTCAACTAGCTTTCACGATAAAGTATAACAAAGCAGATTAGCCGAACATTTTTAGCAAGACTCCTTTTTTTTAAGGAAAATGATAAAAGTGAAGTAAAAATTAGAGTTATTTGTTTGCTATGTTTTATATGAATAGTAATAACTTAAAAAATCATAAGCATTTCGATATTTCAATATTAGAGATATCTTGTAAAAAAGAGGATGCCTAATATTTTTTGCTGTATATTCTCTCAGGAATCTGAGGTCTGCGAATGTCACTTAACATCTTCGGGTTCGTCTGAAATGTGAACACAAAACCTTCCCTCTCCATGCAGTTAGGTTATTCTGATACATGAAATACAGACTCTGAGAAATTTTTATTTGATGATTTATTTGTCAGTGCCAAGTTATGTAGTAATAGCTTAAAGTTATCAGTTTAATCCTCAAATTTTCGAAAGTTTCAAATGAAACCAAATGTGTACAAGGTCACAGTACATTAAATGTTTACATTACGAAAATTTAACTTTTCCTTCAAATAAAAACTTCAGTGTTAGTTAACCGTTTGTTATTTTTCAGTGTTATAAACCGATATCCACTGAAGCATCATCAAATTTCTAGTAGCGCGTTTTGACGATAAAACATATTTCCCAGAACAGCAGTCTGATGAAACAAGTTTTTGATTTTCGCTATGGTTTGAAAAACTGCATTCAAAATCCATACTATTTTTTCCAGAATTAAAAAATTAGCACAACACAAACGTTGTCCCGATAATTTTCAACGGGGAAAAGGTAACCCAAAAAACCATGCAATGAAAATATACGTTTTCTCTCAATCTGAAGTTTACGATGAAAATAAGAGAGAACCCATAAGATTTTTCTTAGTCAAAGGAAAAGAAAATTAATGACAAATGAAGAGGGAATCATCTTTCACCTTTGCAGTAGAATGAGAAATGCTAGCAGGAATCGGACGTAAATTGTCTAAAAAAGAAAAAAGACATTGGTATGTGTGTATTAAATACAGACTAATACACATCTGTAAATTTCATTTTCCTAAAAATATTGCCGGACTAGGCCAAAAGATTTAAATTGATAAATATTTATTTTACTTATTTCAATGTATTTCTGTGGTGCATGTCAGGTCAGGTATTAGAAATACCGATGTGAAAGTAATCTAATTCAATATTTATTGTTACGCCTATTGATGCATTTGGACTAAAACAATAACCAGAAAATGACAAAATACAAAAATGAATTTACATTTTTTACTATCTTAAAATGACTTTATACAACTTTCAAGCTATTTTTCCTTTTAATTTTTGAAATAAATTCACATCATTCTAAAAGGGTCATATATAATTATACTATTTTGGAGCAAGAAAAGTCATTGCAGATATTTCAATAAAAATAAAGATATTAATAAGAAAAAATATTAATGCATTTAAAAATAGAAAACACAAATTTCGAAAGTTCAAAAAAATTAATATAATCTTTATAAAACCTAAAATAAGACTTGGGATGCCTACTAACAAAAAACAGTTTAAACCTTTTCAAATATCTACAAAACAGGAAAGAAAACATTTGTACAGGAATAAAAATCATAGTGAAATGTGCAAACATATCAATATTTATCGCTTAAAACAACAAAAAGTGAGATCAAACAAAAATGACAGAAGGAAATTCTTTGAAAAACTTAATTATAATTTAATAACTTATTCTCTCACTAAAAATATTTTTTCAAGAATAAAATATGCATAATATAAAAACGAATTTACCTCAGTTTGTTACAAAAACTTTAAAAACAAAATATTATTGTAGTTAACAATATAATGGTATGATAAATATAGAATCCTAGTAGATTTTCTAAAAACTTTCAACAACTGAAAGTGTAATAAAAATTGAACCAAGGATAATCAATCTAATTTATTAAAAGGCTACTTTGAGAGCCCGTGAAAGTTTTCTCATCCTATAAAATAAGAAGCTTATAGGAGAGACTTACATACCACATATTGTACAGTACATTTAGTTTTTTCATAAAATATTTGACCATACTCTCTGATCAATCTGAATTTTTAAGGGGAGAAAATTGTCTTTCCATTTAAAATCCACTACTGCAGCTAAACACATTTTGAGAAGTACCAATAATTCAATCTCGGGGAGAAAAGTACATTTCAAGAACATTTTTGAACTGTTATGTAGGTATAAGATTCTGTTGAAATGTACATGTATTAGCATGTTTCAAGAGTTTATTACAATGTTGATATACAATACACTGCTTTTTCAAAAACAAAGTTAAATCATAATTAATTACTAAATAAAGTGTAGCAAATTTTCAGCATAATTAAATTAAAATGAAATTATTAAAAATATTTGGATAAAGCTGAATGCATATAGTTTCTTACAATTTTTAAGTATTAAAAGAAAAAAAAAATTTAAAATTGAAATACATCACAATATTCATAAAATCTTCTTCAAAAATTCAAAATGACTGTACTTCTGTATGACAAGACGATAGAAGCTGCAGAGTACGTTTTGTGCTTAGCTAATTTACAACACAGTTATTAAATTTAAAGAGATTTCCAATAACAGGAAACTAATATAAAAGAAATAATTCAGTTGCTAATTAAAATTTATCTGCTATGAAACGAAAAAGGTATAACTTAAAAAATAACATATCATATTACATTTCAAAATAATTAGACCTAGCTACCAATCCTTATAAGGATTTAGATATCTCTCATATGTTAATTATCAGAAAGATTAGAAAGTTTTGGTCTTCTGTACATTCAATAAAAATTTTGATAGCATAATTTAAACACGTGACTTATAAAAAATTACTTCAATTAAAGTACATAAAATATGAAGCACTATACGAATATATTAAATAGATTTATTTTCTTCTTTTCCCAAGTTCTGCATCCTCTACATTCATCAAAAGCAATTAAGTGATTAACCATATTTTTGAAGACCAACCTTCACCTTTAGCTGTGAAAAGCTAATCTAATTTGTAATAATTTTTCACTATGCAATATCACCTTCTTTCTTCATTATACAGAGAACTGCAGACTAATATATTACTAAATACTAATAATTGACAAATATCATGATAAGGCGTATAGCCTTAAATAAGACAAAAATTGAAGCTGCACATAGGGCTTTAAAATTTAAAATCACAGTAATAAGCAAAATTATTAAAAATTTCAACGAAAATTTTAAAATTATATCTGCTTATCAGCAATTTTTAATCAAAATTACACACATGAATATGTGGCAAAAATGTCAATGAATTATAACAACTAGCAAACTGATACATAAATATAATAAAATAACTTCCATTAATTACGATAAGTAATTTAATTTCACAGCATTTCTTTAGATTACATAAAATACCACATTGGAACAATATGTATAATTATTTTGTAACAGTTCATAATTTTCATTTGTTAAAGATATTAAATACATCTTTCACATATACTGGAATAAAATTTTGCAACTCTGTATGATATGAAACAGATGCACTCTTGCTTTCTAATGATATTTTTCAAACTGCACATGGAACTGGGCACATAACAGTCAGAAAAATAACTCAAAACAGCCACTGTGATATTGCATAGTAAAATCATAAAAATGACATTGAAGGCATAAAGCGAAATGCAGCAAACGCTGAAATTAAAATGGTCATATCATGTAAAAGTATTCTTCATATTTAACACAAGTCATTCTCATCACATACAAACACGTTCACGCAGAATCTTCAAGAAGAGAATCAGTTTTTAATCCAAGTCTTTTTTTTTCTTTTTATGCATAAAGTCAACACTACCACAACCTTACTGAGGAACACAGCAACACTAGCTCAACAAAGAGGTGGCTCAGCAGATATAGCCGTCTCATCACCTGCAACACATATCTGTTCCTTTTTTTGGTTTTTTTTCTTTTTTTTCTTTTTTTGTCAAGAAATGCACAGTGGAAAAGATAAGCTGTATTAGATGACCTAGCACATATATAGGTCACCTTTTCGCATAATATATATATTTAATGAAATTCACAGCGTCAATTTCACGTTCTTCAACCAGGCAAACCAGTCTACTGGATAACACAGCACTTGCATTTTGGCTTCTTCTTGATGACCACCTGTTCCACAGCTGGGGCATCAGTCGGTGGCACTATGACACCATGCTGCACCTCTACGATTCCTGGAGCTGAATTCTGATCCTTGGGAGTACTGCCGTTTGCACCAGCTTTCGGTTTGGATTCCAGTGGAGAGGTGCTGTTTGGAGTTATCGCCACCTCTTTGACCTCCTTCCCATTTGGAGAAGCAGGTCCAGTGATCATAGAGTCTGTCTGGTCATGCGAAATACCATTGGCCACCACACCATCGATGTCCAGTTCTTCTCCCTTCACAGGAGTAATAGGCTTGCCTTCCTTGATAAGGCTGACAATGGTGTCTGCTTCCCGGCTTAATTCGCCATCTGGTCGAAAGGGGTTGTCCACTCCACTTTCGTGACTGAAACAAAAAGAAACACGGTTAAGTCCAGAAAAATGGAGCTTTACTAATAATAATCACACACACACACACACACACACACAAAAATAAAAATAAAAAAAATAAAAATAAAACAGACGGAACTGATTTCAGTAAGAATTTTTTTCATTTTTGCTTCAATTTTTGTCTTCAGTATATATGACTGACGTTGCTGCCGAAAAGGTGCATATAACCCTTATAGGAATAGAATGGAAACTTAAAAAAGCATCTTGTTATTGTTGCTTCAACAAATCGCACATAAAAAGGAATACAGTGAAACAATAAAAGGTTGTTATGGCAACTAACTGCCAACGTATCATAACTACCATCTCTGAAAGTGACCAGTGTTTCTTTAAGACATTAACAAAAACAACATAAAAGAATTATGGTGATCATCCACCGAAGCGGCGTACGAAAACCTCATGAAGTGAATCGTATTTCTTCAAACATAACAAACATCTGTATTGAATATGAGCTTTAAGGACACATTTTCAGGGAAGGCCTAAATATGTCAATGGCAGGTCTTCTTTCGCTCACTGACACATTTGCTGATTTCACTCTGTTTTGTAAGAATTTTTGCTCATAAGATATCCAGTAAACTCTCTCTAAGGCACTCATCCACCAAATACAAATAAACTCTTGTCATTTGAAGTGCGCAATCAAGCGTAAACATAAATATTGAGCATTTGGATGTTCAAATGTTCAACATTTCTGTTTACGCTCGGAGAAATATTGTTCACTTCAAACGAGAGAGTTGATTTGCACTTGAATATGTTTCATATGCGCTTCCTTCTTTCTTGCCATAGACCCCACTTTGCAGAAGATTAAATATCGGCATTCAATTTCCAATTTGAAAATAGCTACTGTTTGGCTAAGACTATAATAACAACGATCTACATATATTACAGTACATCAATATTAAAAAAGCGAACTATTAGATTAGAAACTATTTACAACAGTTTTCACGACAGCGCACTAGCTTTTCAATAAATTTTGTAAGAATCATTGTGTAACGAAAGAGGGGAAAAAATCTCTCACATATTCAAACTGGTTATGAAATATCATTGATCTTTAAAAAAATGTTAAACAAATAGATTACTGGAATTCTTTTGAAATCTGTACACTATTCAGTTGGATATAAATGTAAAATAAATAAATCAGCTATCATTTTAACTCAAGACACTGTGCATAAAAAGTAGAATTTTCAACTTGAACTCTTGACACTTCTTGAAAAACAGAGATTCCAGCCAACTGATATAAATTTGAGTTTAATAACATGGTTACGTGGATTTTAAATATTCTGTTAGGTAGCTCAGATATTCTTAAACTGTGGGTCACGGGACCTTCAGCAAGGGGTCGCCAAAAATTTAGCAATTTTGATATTTCTTTAACTCAGTATAATAATTTTACAATTACCAAATATTTTTACGCAACGTATCTGAAAATAGATAAGACAATACAGACAAAGAAAAAAAGAAAACGTTTCCACGCATTCTTTTTATGATATAAAACGTTCATTTTGCTTGCTTTGCACGTGACGCTGTCATTTCGACTGTTGTTTATTTAAACTTTACACATTGTTCTACGTCTTGAAATTAAAGTTAATGACCTAAAACTGCAATAGAATATTACAGTGCAAGTGAAAAAAATTGACAGTTTCACTCACGGGTGTGTCGGATTAGCGCAATGCTTATGGGGGTTCCACAAAATTTTCGTGAATATTTTGGGGTCCTGTGGCCGCGACTGAAAAAAGTTCAAGAAGCCCGGGTGTAGATTATCAAATCATGGAATTAGTGTTCCTGCTGCCATCTATTGAGAAGAAGTAGTGAACCCACATGATCAAATTCAGACATAGCAAACTGTTGGTTAAGTAAAATTTTAAACTGAATTCACATGAAGTCACATGAGCAAGTCCATTATATTAACATTTGTTTTTATCTGATGTTAACAAAAATATATAAAACCGCGCATACGAAATAAATTCAAATTTAATATAAAATACTGTAAAATTATTTATGTATTATGTTCATATACAATAAAATTCTATACCTTACAGGTTTAAGTATCGCGGGGGAGGTCAATATGGAAGATGATTACAAAATTGAAGATGCTTTTACCTATGAAGAAATTTCTTATACGATTAAATGTTTAAGAATTCATTCTGACCCCGGATTAGATAGGATCGGGGTTTGGCTTATTAAGAAATTATTTGAGGAGTTTCCTTCATTTCATTTGATTTTATATAATAGATGTCTTTATTTGAGTGTTTTTACAGATGCTTGGAAAATTGGTCAAATGATACTCATTCCAAAAGGTAATGGAGGATATAGACCTATTTGCCTCTTAAAGACTTATGCAAAAATTTATGACAAACTAATTACAAATAGAATTCAACACAAATTAAGAGAAATAAACTATATTAGTGACAGGCAATATGGCTTTCAACGAGGCAAGTCTACGGATTTGGCCTTATATAACGTTTTATTTCATTTGAAAGATAAGAAGCAAAGACATCATATTGCCCTGATCTCTTTCGATATCCGTAGAGCGTTTGACTCAATCATTTGGCCGTCCCTGCTATCTGAACTGAAGAAAATAGGGATCACAAAACAACTATTTGAAATTATTAAAGATTATCTGAAAAATAGGAAGATTGTTTTCAAAAATAAAAATGATTCTGTCCATCTTGTTTACGATATTGAAAGAGGATGTCCTCAAGGCTCCTGCAGCGCACCCCTGTTCTGGAGCCTCATTGTCAATAAAATTTTTATTAACATGACTGGTGTTGAATTATTCTGCTTTGCAGATGATATTTTGGCTATTGTCTATGATGACTCTTTAAACAAACTTGAAAAAACTTTTAAGAGTTTAGAGGAAAATTTTATGAACTGGAGTAGAGAAGAAAATATAGAGTTCAACAATGAAAAAATAAATGCCATTTTCTTTCCTAGGGGTGGTAAGGCTACTAGAAAACCAAAGTTGAAGTTTAATGGTATAAAGATTAATTTTAAAAGTCACTTTAAATATCTTGGAGTGATTATTGATGAAAAGCTAACTTTTATTGAACATTTTAAGGCGATTCACAGAGATATAGAGAAGATTTTAAAATATTATAGAAGTGCCTTTGATTCACAAACTTTAAAGTTAAAAAGCACTACTCTTAGAGATATTTATTTAAATGTTATTAGGCCAAAAATTTTATATGGTATTGGCATGTGGGGCTGCCGGGCAGGGGATTTGATTAAACTGAGAACTAAACTGGATTCATTGCAAAGGAGCTGGCTGCTTGCAATCACAAGGGCTTTCCGTACTGTTTCTACAGAAGTTATTTGCTTACTTGCTGTCATTCCGCCACTCTCAATTTTTTATAAATTTTATTATGAAAAATTTTTACTCAGCTATGGTTTTAAAAAGATTTTAACATGTGAAAATGGTGATGTTTTGAATGGTAACGCCTTGACAAGAAAAGATTTATGAATATACATCCGAAAGATTTCAAGGGCATATACCGTACGATAAAGATTATATGAAACTGGCATGATTGATATATACACTGATGGCTCCGGATATGAAGTGGAACTGGTTGCGTTTTTGTTATTTTTTATTACGGAGTCTAAATCTATACTAGAAAAATACGATTAGAAGGAAATAAATCAGTGTATCAAGCTGAAGCGGTTGCAATTAGAGAGGCACTGCGGTGGAGTTATAAAAACTTAAAACAGTACTTTACAATACATATTTATTCTGATGCTTTCTCGGCCCTACAAGGCTTGGCAAATCCGGAAACAAGCAATAGACTTCTTTTGGATATAAAAAACATTTATAACAAAATAAGAGAGAAAAATGCTATATATTTTCATTGGGTTAAGGCACATATTGGTGTTATCAGGAATGAAAGGGCGGATATGCTAGCTAAAGAGGCTGCCCTGGGAGAGGGTGGTATTTATGAGGCTATTAATGATTCCAGAAGAATTACCTTGAGAAAAATGAAAGCAAGTATAATTGAGAAATGGGCTCGGGAATGGAATAGTTCAAATAAAAATAAGGGTTACTTGAGGATTTTGACCATAAAAAGAAAAATGGATCTATTTAATAATATAGATACTATTCAAGTTATCACGGATCATGGTAGATTCCCGGCCTATTTAAAACGATTTAATCTCCAGAGCAATGATCAATGCTTGGCTTGTGGGAAGTACGGAAATGCAGTTCATTTTATGGAAGAATGTAAACTGACCGAGAGTGTGAGGACGAGATTTGGAAAAATAAATGAACAAAATGTAATTGAAAAAAGAAAATTCTTGAATAGCTATGCAACAGAAATTATGAGGATTGTGAATGAAAATAAGACTATCATAGGAATAGGACTTTAAATATTTTAATCTTTTATTTATTTATTTTATTTTATTATTATTATTATTTTGTTGTTGTTTTTCTGCGTCGGGTGTGCTGCGTTAACCATGAGGCCGATTACTGTCGGCCAGGAGGGTTGCAGCATACTCGTAAACTAAACTAAACCTTACAGAGAGTTAAGACTAAATTCACATTCACAGCAATGGTATTATATGATCAGTAATAATTAACGGTGTATGTATTACGGCAAAGCCTCGAGGGCTATCTGCCTAAGGGGAAGAATGCCTTTGTGGAGGACTTTCAATGGGAACTGGATCGTATACATGTTACATATTGGGAAAAACCACAAATATGCCCGTGCAGTCAGCCCGTTCGCGGGATTCAAACCTCGGACCGAACTACCAGGGTTTAGCGACTTTACCGCTCAGCCGCTGATGGGCACTCAGTAATTAGCAAGACTAGCAGCAGGTGTAATATTGCATGTTAATTTTATATATAAGAACATTAAATACATACAGTTTCATTATCTAAAATTAACTTTAATTCTGTTATGAGCATTGATGACCTATAAAAACTCTTGTGTTCTTCTGTTCTAAAAAATCTTCTTTCTATTCCTAAAAAAGTGCAGATGAAAAAAAAAAAAAAAAAAAAAAAAATATTAAAACCAGTCGACTATAGTTCTTGGACTATTAAACAAAACCTAAACCAATTTTTGAAGTGACAAATTTAAGAAGTGCTTTTAGGTTAGAAAGAATAATTACAAATTAAGTTACAAGCTAAAAACAAACTGTCATATGACTTGATTCAAGAACGCACTTAACAGAAGCATATTGTTACATATATTTATTATAAGCATCTTATTTACCAACAAATTATCAGATAGTGTATTTAATTAAAACTTTCTAAATAGAAAATTATTATTGGTTTGAAATAAATAGTATTATAATTAAAATGTTTAGCCTAAGTTTGCATTTCTATGCTTTATTGCAATATACAAATACAATTAAAAATGAGATGTATTAATTACTATTTACAAATTAAATTATATTCAATATACCCTCAAAAATATTCGAAAAAGAAAAAACTAAACATTAGACGATTTGTTACTGAAAATGAACTTTGCTTTTAGAGACCATACAATGCAAAGCAAAAAACTGAAAATGTTTATCACACACATCTGCATGCAATTAGCATTTTTAAAGATATAATTAACATTTTATGAGTTGTGAACATACGATACTTAATATAAAAAAGAAATGAAAAATTTTTACGTACACGCAAGAAAAGATGGATGAACGCTAGGTTTGATACTTTAATAACTTAACAAACATTATGCAATTACTTAATTATATAACAATTACTACCTAAATGTATAAAAAATAAGATTAGTTTATTATAGTACATTACGAAAGTCATTTTCTTAATGACAAATGTCACAATATATATAATTATTAGTTTTTCTATTTATGACTATCTCCCATGAAAGGAAATGTAAAACTATTGTTAACTGAAATTAAGAAAAGTTAATACTTGAGAGGACGATGTTAAAACTAGTAAGAACTTCTATTAAACCCAAAAGAATTTTTAAAACTGTAATGGTATGCATTGAAATCGAACATTTTAAGAAAGAAAAATAATAGTACATACATAAAAATATGATAGAACAGTACATACATAAAAAATCAAATAAATTACTGCTGATTTTTCGAAAGAGGGTTTGGATAATTAATAATTTTCAAACATGAAGATAATCTAACACGATCAAAAAAACATACATACAAAAAGATTGTTAAAAAAACTGATGGGAAATTTAGAAATATAAATTCATGTAAAACCACTAATTATAAAAGCTAAAAATATTTAATCGAAAAGGATGCTAGTTGCAGCTGACCGTTGAGGTAATGTTTAGGTTTACCATTCAAAGAGGTTGGAGAGAATATTAAAAAAAGAAACAAAAATATATAATTTAATAATAAATAAATAAAATATTTAATTAAACATGAATTGAATCTATATGTAAAATAAAATGAGAAATAAACTGATTTTTTTCCCAAGCACTTAATAAAACTATTGATTTTGAAACTGAAAATAAGAAAACGATACTTCATCTGCCAAAACCTTGCCAAATGTGCTGATATTTCTCATACTTCAAGTCCGAAGACCCAAATTTCAAAACTTAAAATGAAATGAACAATGTTCTCAATTACTAATAAATAAAAAGCTCTGTCATTCCGAGAGCAAATACAAACAACGTGAATAAAAAATACAGTAGCTGAAAATTTATCAACTAAAAAGGTAATAATTAGTATATAATACTTAAAACTAATATTAGCAAGCAAAAAATATATTAAAGGTAATAACTACGCACTAATTCTTAATTTTGATTTAACATATAATTTACAAAGCTTTAACTCCGGGAACCTATGAAACTATTTTGTCATTTTAAAGAACCAACAAACTCTCCCTCCCCCCGTGTGCGTGCGTGAAACCCGTACTATCTCATTCTGGTAAAAGGTGAAAAAGCACTGAAAATATAACACTGCTGTAAATATATGAAATATTTTCTATTTTCAAGATAAATCAAATAATGAAAGCATATCGATGCCAATATTTTAAATTACAATAACAACAGAAGTAAAAATATATTTATGCACTTTTAAATATTTTGTTTGGAATTCAAAATTGCTTTCGAACTTTAATTTTGACTCGCGGAATCCTTGTAAGAGTTGTATACATCCCAAGGATTCCGTGGAATAAGAGTTTGATGAACACGGACTCATAGCAAGATGGATAATTTTTTTTTTTTTTTTTTTTTTCAAAAGAAGACGGAAAGGCTTACGAAGAGGATATTTTAAAATACCAAACTAAAACAGTAAACAATAAAGGCCAAACGAAATCTTCGGATTAATTTTCCGAAGTCAACAGAAACAGCCACAGAAAGTTACCTACCGTTCGACAGGTATTGTTACGTAGTACACATGAAGGCGATTGTCTATGGCAGCCATGGGTTGAGCAGACCTCCTTTTAGGCTACGAGGAAAGACTTCCTAGGTATTTTTTCTTTCCTACCTACATCCTAAAGAGCAACACGGCTTGACAACACAGTAACCAAGCATTCGAAGCGCACCATCCAGTTCATCGATGTTTGCCGATCGATCATTTTACGAATTAGCATTCGATACAGACAGTAGGGGACAAGGTTCGCGATGATTTCAGACACATAATAAGAGCACGACACGCGATAGTTAGGTATTTTTTTGTAGCTTACTAAGACATTTCGCACGGTAGAGAAAATGGAGTTTGGTGCTGAAGAAGGGTTGCTAAAATGGCAGAAGTCGCCAAGATTTTCACGTTGGTCGCCAAAAGCTGGTTTGCCTCGACAGTGTCTCAGTATGGTACATCGATGAGAAATGAGAGTTACAAAATACTTACGAAGTAAAATTCCAACAAAATTATATTTTGAAGGTAACAGGTTCTAATCACCTACAGATATTCCATTTTAGGCTGCTTTTTATACTGCTTGTTATTTTTGAAGTTACTATTAGAAACAATGGATAAATTCTTCAATGATAAATTCTTCAATGTTTACAACAAACTGTGCAATGAACTCAATATATGACTAGAAAACTGTCCGAAATAAGAATATAAAATTAATGTTCTTCCATTTCAATGATTACACGATTTATTTTAATAAAATTCTTTATATTAGTATAAACACCATAAATGGGATAAAATATGCTCATTTATTTTACAAATATTAAAATTGACGATTTTAATTATAATATGCAAACCAACATAACACAAACCAACATAAAGTAATATAATAATAATGTAAATGGTAAATAATTACGTAATATTAATTTAAGTAACTTTTAAATTATAACTCAGTAATATAATTTTATTAAAAAATTAAGCATTAAGATAAAATCATGAATTTTAATTTCTTGCATAAATAATTTAGGTTGTACTTGTCATTTATACACAGTTTAAATTTCAGTACATAACTATACGAAAAATTTTCATATCCCCCAAAATATATCAGATACAAAGAATTTATTTACATACAATTTTCTACACTGGTATAATATATTATAAAATACATAAGATATGTAAATCAATTAAAAATTGTTTTTACAAAATACTATAGTTCACTACTTTTTTTATAATAAGCAAAAGCATTTTATCATTCATTTGTTATTTTACTATCATTACATTTGTCATTTTATATTATTCGTATACTTATATAAAAGTATACACGCTTGTAAAAAATGAATACTTTTTTATTAAAATTAAATTTTTAAATTAATATTTTTTTATTCGTAAAAAAATTATTTTTTTACTTCATTAAGCAAATAATTTAAATATCTGCATCAAATATTAATTTACATGTTATATAATTCAGTAAAACAACTCCATTAAGTAAATAATTATACAACTAATTCGTGAATTTTGTTCACAAAGTAATCAAAAATAAGAAAACAGTCAAAAATCAAAATAGCAGGTTTAAGTTTTTAAACAAATAAAACTTATTTCTTTACAAAACTAAAATTCAACTACCTGAGCAATAAAAAAAATATCATTATCACAAATCAGATATTCAGCATGCCTTATTTTCAAAAGGCTAGTTCGAACGTGTACATCCTCCACTACAACATCCCTTCTAAAGCAGCCAACCCCTGAACGCTTTGCCAAAATAAATAACTTGCCTCCCTACCAGCCTATACTATTGTTTTCATAAAAATCTCTAGGAAACATTTCACGTTTCATTCGCCTTAGGCAATGTTAGAGAAAGATCCTATATGACTCAAGACACACAAATTTCTCAGTCGGAACTCGGTTCCATTAACCTCTAGTGAGGAAATGACTATTCTCGCCCACATGAGAATTTGTGCCAGCTCAAAACTGAAGGACGTTTAACTGCCATACTTTCCTAAGTTCCGTACTGCCATAGTTCCTATTAAATAACGTAAATAAAGTAATTCCACAAATCATTCGGTTCTACTAACAAAAATAAATTTAAAAAAAAATATCTAAAAGCTTTCAGATTTTATATCACGCCCAAAGGGACTTTTTTTTAACGTTTTGTGTGTTACCTCTATTTATTAAATATCATGTTCTTCGCACTTAAACGATAAAATTCAATTCAACAGCAATATCGCAAAATAATTTTAAAATGAGCATAGCTTTAGAATTTCGGATATACAATTGGGAGATAAAAATGTCGTCCCCCGTAGTGTTGCCACTGCTCGCTTTGAAATAGTCGAGTTTCTAAATCAAAAACTCATAAATGCTTTATAAAATATGAAATAGATTATAAAACAAATTCCAAATTCGGGCTTCCAGATGCCCATATTCGCGTGGAGACAGACGTACGTACGTTATTCAAAACTAGATGGCTGTATGTACCTTTGTTTTATCACAATGCGAGAAACATACATACATTTATGCACATTCTTCATTATTTAATTTCTTTAAATATAACACAGAGAGATAATATTTGGTGGCAACTGATTCAAAAGTGATTCACCGTTTATAGTGAATCAACGCAAAATGCCAAAACTTTTGGGCTAACAATTATAAAAAATAATAAAATTTCACATTATTTAACAAAATACGTTTATTATTAGTTTTTTGTAATTCATTACGCAAGAAATAAAAATATTTTAGTCGTAGAAATGATATTTAAATACAAATTTAATTTTAAAATTTCACTCATAATTAATAATTAACTATTTCCCGTCATGAGAACGCAAATTCTTCTCATTCCGACTGCAACATTACGAATGTAATTTGCATTTCTTTCCCCCTCTCATTCACAGCATTAACTGATCAATTTATACTATTAAAAATAAAAATTGTATGCTGGAGCAATATTACTTTTATTTAACAAATAAAATTTTGTCACTGCAAAATAAGATCCGGCGATAAGATCGTGCCTCGGAAATTAATGAGCAAGAACAATAGAGATAATTTAGATTACCAAGTGTTGCCAGTCAGCGAAACGTAAAACTTTCATCTTTCCCGCATACCCGTGCGTAGATCCTCTAATTGCTGCCTTTCGACAAAACATAAGACACATACACTCTGTGCCAAAAGTTTACAGACTCAGTTAATATTACGTGTTTTAGAGAAAAAAAAAAAAAAAAAAGAACACGAGCATCAAATAAAAATATATTCATTTACATTACTTGCGACCTGCATTCCAGTATATGTTCAACTAAAGTAGCAACTTGTATTTTAGCAAAAATAAAAAACACAGAAGAATATGCGTTCCAAAATTTATAGAATATTAACACTTTAACAACCTGTGATCAATTTCAAATTGCTTAATGCTCCAAAGTCGCCCATTATTCGAATATACGTTTCTCCATCGACAGAACTAAGTTTTGTAGTAACTCTGGTTCCATACTATACCATGCACTCCGATGGCTGCGAGTATCCGTCACTCGGGGTCTTCCTTACGAGACATTACACGATAAATCATGCTTACAGATCGATTCAGTAGTTTCGAAATTTCTTTAACAGACTTACCGTTCAATTTAAAGTTCAGAATCCTATTGATGTCAGCATCAGTTGGAACTTGCTCAGTTGAATCAGTTGAAGTTGCGTAACTTTATGCCATACTTAAACTACGTTCAAATTATTTTTTCTTTTTTGCATTGAATGTTTTAATGAGAGCATTATCATCTAAAAGGCTCAAGTTCCCCATCATGATCGTTGTTAACCAATTTGCATAAAATTACATTAGTCTATAGTCATCTGGGACATACATATGAACTTTCCGATAGAATATAAGTTGATTTTTTCCACTTTTATTTTTTCTAAAAGGCAAATTTATATTTTTGCTAAATATTTAATCAGATGCAAGGCACATATGTTTTAAGTAAACATATTTTAATTGGGTAATTTTATACATTTCTATTTTTCTTAAACATGTAATTTACTTGAGTCTATAAACTTTTGGGACAGAGCGTATTTACATTTTTCAATCACTCCGTTACTGATTGATACAATAAATGATTTAGAGGTAATAAAAGCATTTATTAATAATTTAAATACCGATTTTACTTGTTTACATAAATTAAAACATTATACTCGAATAGTTGTTTTTATGAAAATTTCCATTTATTATATTTAAAATAAAAGATGTTTCTAAGCCACACAGTATGTAACTGATACAGAATTATTTCTTCACATATCTGAATATTTTTAATGTACATTAATTTAATGTTTTTTAATTAAAAAATTGGCAATGGTAAATTCTTCCTCTTTTTAAAAATATTAGACGGTAAACTGCCTTCAGACTACAAGTTTTTGCTCTCCCCCATATAAATAAATTCAATAAAAACTAAAAATCTATTAGTTTTATCCACGGTAGCATTCTGCATAGAGCTGTGACGGAAATAAAAAATCTGAACGAGCAAGATCTGAAAAATCGTTAAAACTACGGTTTTAACATAATTTTAAATTTTACGTACAAAAATTATATAAAATTATGAAAAATTGAAAAATTCTGCATGTAACAGAAATAAATAAGACTGAAATTCTTCTATAAATAAATTCTGCATTTAATGTTTGCACTCTAATAATCTAAATCCAATACTTTTAATCACAGTTTTAAAAGCTTTCGAGTTCACACTTTAGTCAAAGTTAGATTGTTACCTGTGGTGTGATCATGCTTTAAAAAACAAAATTTGACGAAAGTTTAAAACATACTTATATTCAATAGATATATATTAAATTTTTATCTGAATCACAATCTATAAATATTTCGACAAAAAATGGAGCTTTAGCTCGAAAAAGATCTTGAATAAACTGCAGCAACTTCGACGGTTATATGATACAAGTACCTCTTCTTCAGGAATATCTATCTATATTTTTTAACTATCGCTTCGTTCACTGAAAAACACTAAAGGAAGATAATTTTGAAACCGTGCCGAAATTGCTGAAACAACTGACCGACCATCCACGCAAGTCCGTATACCATAAGGTTTAGAACAAGCTGACTAGCCGTGTTCGACTGGAAAACTGCTTAACCTCCTCAACGGGACGCAGTGGTCACACTTTAAAGCATATCACGTTCAAGTTCTATAATAATGGAGTAAGAAAGAAAACATGTGAGATTTACAGACGGAAAAAAGATTTAATGCTATCTTCTTCAGAAGCAAAAAAATTTTTTTTTTCTGAACCAATTTAAAATGCTCCGTTAATTTAAAACTTTTCTGATAATTCGCTAAATTCCTCCATAGCCGTCATCTGCAATTTATTTCGCTCCTGA